TGCTGGATTTTGAGCAGGCAAACAGAGGATTAGATTTTCGCTAACAATTTCGACTACTACTGCTTCAACAGCTGCAACGACTAGTAGAGCTACTTTATCAGCCACTACTATTTCTTTTTCGAGTTCTGGTACCAGCAGCTCACCTGATTCCTCAGGCACTACTTCATCATTGCAATCAGCTGCTTCTCCCATGTTTGATTAGTTTCTTAATCTTTTCCAAATTTAACTTGTTCACTTATCTTCTTCAATTTTGCAAATGTGTGATTTGAGCTTTGGAGTTCCTCATCCTATCCGCTCATGTAAGTATTTCTTCATTTTTATTTCTCATATATGTAAGTATTTCTTCATTTTTATTTCTCATATTGAGATTTTGTATGCGAATTCTGAAATAAAAAGAAGTAATACTTAAATTTGATTTGTTCTGATCTAATTAAATATGGAACATATTTTATTTTAAATGTCAACTTAAATTTCAGTTATTTTTAGAACAGAGGAGTATTGAACAATACTTACTTTCTTTTTCTTTTTTTTTATTTCCTGAATGTGTGTATTTTATTCAATAAAACAATATAGGGAAGAAGTACATTGGACAAAAGATCCAAGCCAGGATCCAAAAACAGAAAAAGAAAAAACAAATCCAGGGCATACCCCAAATTTGTCAACAAAGAGAAACTAAGTCCAAAAAACTGACCCGGACACCACAATTATCAAAAAAAAAAAAACTGGTTGTGGAAATAACACAACCATAATAAAATAGCTTGAAGATCAGAAACAGCCAGCCCTGTAGCAGTTAAACCTTCAAAGCAAGCCTCCATAGCCAATTGATGGGGGGAATGCACAGTGCCACCGTGAACTCTCCTATTTCTTTCATTCCATATACACCATAATACGGCAGTGAACCAACCAACGCTTCACTAATCTTGATTTCACAGGTTGTTGGCCTTGAGTTTGGTTTTGAAACCGAACCAGAACTTCGGAGAAGTGAAGCATATGTGTCAATCCCTCCCAATGACATAATTGAATAAACCAATTCCAAACATTTCTAGCATACGCACGACACCAAAACTAATGGTCTCGAGAGCCAGCTTCTTGAAAAGCAGTTGTGGCAGATGGCAGGACCAACAAAACCTCTCTTCCTGAGATTGTAGTAAAATTGGAAAGAAGTCTTCAAGATAAGGGCAGATCGGACACCTATTCAGGGCCTACCTCTCTAGTATTCAAAATGGTCTTCCATATTGCAGAGTCATGTACCTTAGCATTCATAGTCCAAAAATTTCCATTCCTGACATACTTGTTCTTGAACCATCTCACCCATAGCTCTTCCTTGGACACAATGAAATTCCAAGTCATCATGCAAGAGGAAGACAAATCAATGCTCCTAAAATTTCTGATTCCCATACCCCCTTCCTGCTTAGGTAAAGTGACTACTTTATCCCAAGCTAGTAGAGGGGTGGTTCTTTTCTCGTCTGGACTGCCTCCCCACAAAAAAATTCTCTCTTTTCTCTATCTCATCTTGGACACCCCCATAGGGATGGTGAAAAACAGCAGCCCAAAGATAATAATAAGATGAAATGACTGATCTAATTAGTTCTATTCTGCCTGCCATTGAAAGAACTCCATGAATTCAATTTAGAGTTTACCTTGCCCGGCCGAGAGCCCTACCAGCAACCATGGGAAGACCTAAATAGTTGACAGGTATATTGCCCTCCTTAAACTTCAGAATCCTCATGATATGAAATCAAAGATATGAAGGTGCTATTAACTCCTAAAGGCAGGGAACAATGAGAGCAAATGAATTGGACAGCATTCATTACCTCTTTTCCAACAATAGTCCATCTGGTCCAGGTGCCTTATCAGGTCCCACAGCCATCGTCACCCTCTTAATTTTATCCTCTGTAACGGTGACAAGAAGAAAGCACCTGTCATCATCTTCAACAGAACCACCTAAGAGGCAGAAAATTTAGTGTTAAGAGGTTGGAGGAGCACCATATAGGACAGAAAAGGATTCACCAATCCACTCTCTGATCTCTGCCTGATTTCTAGAATCTCTCCATCTCTGCTTTGTAAAAGAGTTACGGAATTAATAGCCCTCCTTTGATGCATCTTCTGGTGAAATAACTTAGAACCCTCGATCCATACTCGATTTAAAATGGGAAGCTTAATAAGATTACAGTTAGATAACAGGTCATTGAACTCATTTAAGATTGCAGTAGGGAGTGTTATACCACCTATTTTATCTCCATGAGTTCTGGTCACATTCCAATCCCCAATAGCCATCCATGGACCGTGAATAGTTTTGGATTGACGAAGAAGCTCATGCCGCAATAATCTTGTTTCTTTAGGAGTATTGGCTGCATGCACTGCTGAGATGAAGAAAGAACACATCACCAGTCTCTCTCAGGCATTTCATCAAGCACCGCAAAGACATTAGGAGATATACCCTGTTGCCCCGCAATACACTTGCCCTTGCTCTTAGATTTGCTTTTGGACTGCGTAAAACCATCCATGGAAGGATCATCTCGACCCATTGAAGTTTTTGGACTTTGAACCATTTCACTTTTGCATATGCCATATCACCTCGAGTCGAGTTATATGTTTGTCTAGCTATATGTTCTATATTCATATCAAGTCATTTGAAAATAAAAGGTGAAAGATATTCTCCTCTAGTTAACCCTTTTTTTTTTTTTTTTTTTTAACTTTTTTTGGTTGAATATGATTCATGTCAAAATTGAGAGTGCATTCACAAATACGTTGAAAAATTATGATATTTACATGAAAAATATATTAAAAGTTCAATATTATTTTTATTTTTATTTATTTTTGTGGAAAAATAATGTAGTGTAACTAATGTTAGGTGTATTCAAGAGCCCAGATCTAACTGTCGGTACATCTAGTGTGATTCGACCTGAAGTTTTTCTTCATCTTTTGATCCCTAATTTCGACTTGCTCGTAGTAGTGATTATACACATTTTTTGAATACTTAAAACTAGTAATAAAGGTTACGGTGAGTGAGATTGTAGATCCCACTAAATGATGTTAAATTGATGTCATGTGAGTGGGATCCAACTCAACCCCCTTTTCATTTTTTTTTTAATTAAATAGAAAATCAAACTATTTACACTCAATTTTTCATTACAATTCTCAAGCATTCAAACCATTATGCAATTATTTCAAATTTAATAATAATAAGAATGTTCGACTTTCCACTTCCAAATCATTTTCAAAAATAATGCGAGTGCATAAGTTTCTTATCAATTGAGTTTTAAGACACTTCATTAAATTGTTCAATAAATACTAACAATAATAAAAAAAAAACTCATCAAACTTGTGAACTGTGAAAATTGATTTTTGATGATGGTTGCTAGAATGATGGAAAGTAAAAATATTAGTGTTGGGTATCATCTCCCTTAATAAGAATCATAAGATGATGAAGACCAGAAAATGTATGATTAAAAAAACGAAAGAATTATGTGAAAATTGATTTTTGATGATGGTTGCTACAATGGAAAGTAAAAATATTAGTGTTGGGTATCATCTCCCTTAATAAGACGATCAAGACCAGAAAATGTATGATTAAAAAAAAGCGAAAGAATTGAATTAAAGAAATCGTGGGCGGCAGGATTCGAACCTGCGCGGGCAGAGCCCACATGATTTCTAGTCATGCCCGATAACCACTCCGGCACGCCCACTGAATGAACATTAGGCGCGAAACATTTACATGTAGTATTCTAAACAATATATTGGCGTGGACTACGGCTCCCTTAATTAAAACCTTCGGCGTGTGTTACACTGCCCTAACACCTCTTAGATCCAACATATGAAGCACTGATAGAGTCACATAACAATTCTCAACAACTGTAGCGCATTCTTACTTCAATTCTCATTATTTGTGATTTAATTTAATTTTGTTATTTTCGTGCTCCTTCTCTCACTATCACTCCTGTTACTTAGATACGGACACGATATCGACACAATGATAAGACAAATTTTAAAAAATAGATACGGTACAGCATGGATATATATTTTTACCATTTTATGTGATACGAGTATGACACGATATGGTGATATGACTAATCTTAAAAAAAATAAGGTACTAGTACGAAATGCATACGTTAACAAATATAATATATATAAATACTATTTATTTATTTTTTTACCATTTTAGCACTATAATCTTAGATAAATAACTAATTTGGAATTTAGAACTAAGAGTTTGTTTGGTTTGCATTTTTGTTGGAGAGTGTTTTGAATAATAATTGGAAGCGTGTTTGGTAACGTTTATTTGTTGCAAGATTTTTGGAAGTAACAATATGCAAAAAAATTTTTTTGATAAAAAGTATTGCAAATTTGAAAAATATAATGGTTATTTTTAAAATGTCATTTAAAAGTTTTTCCAAAAAAAAAAAAAAAAATACTTTTCATCACTACAGTACCAAACCCTACCTTGGGGAACGACATTGGATATTGCTAGGTTTGGGCTTTAAATCGAGCGGATACAAGAAAACAGGCAGATGGAGAAGAAAGTGCTTATGCAAAACAAAATAGTTTTTATCAAACACGTTTTTTCATTATTCACTGCAACATTACCCAACAGAAACAAGAATACCAAAAATAAAACACATACCGAATAAGTCCTAAATGTTTGTTATTTTTGTCTTGTTAAATTTTATACTCCTATTATTTTTCTAATTAACTCATAATATAATTTAGATTGTATTAAATTGATTTTTTTTGAAGAAAAATAATTACAAAATTACATTATCTTATTTTAAAAGTGTTCAAAACAAATTTAGGATATCTCTAGTCGTATTCAACACATGCCCAAGTCGTATTCGGGGAAGTGTCCGTGTCTCCCATAATACCACAACCAACACACCAAAATAATCCATTAATCTCTTTCTCAACATTATCCGTTAGGGCAGCGTTTGGCTCAAGACTCGTACAATTTTTTGATTCAAGAAGCCCAGCACAAAACGACGTAGTTTATACCATACGCTTCAAAACAAACCCTTTACAATTTTTCACTGCCACATATTGGGTTGTTTGTGGGCATTCGTCGAGCTCTATCATCTGTATTGTTCTCATTTGCTTTCCAAGGTTTGTGTACTCAAACATAGTTTCTGGGTATTCAATAGTTTGGTTTCTTTTAATCAATTTTAGCTCAAAATTTCATTTTTCATGGTTACAAACGCACAAATATATAGACACATATGTAAATGTGTGAATATTTCACTATCGTTGCTCATCAATGCTATGTTTGATTCTCTGCAGGCACTGCCTTTACATGGATTGACATTCAAATTGGGCTTCAATCACCAGTAGATGGCTCTGACATTCTTTAGAGGGATTCAAACTCGCCCTTTTTTTCTATACCCATCTGTGTTCTCTGTTAGAAAACATGCGGTTTTGTATTCATCTATGGGAACCACACAAACACAACCTGCAACACATGAGAAGCAAAACTCCCAATTGAAAGTTACAACACGCACCCAATCCAAAACACTTGAAAATGCTTCAAAAGATTATGAGGCAGTCATTGGTATAGAGACCCATGTACAGCTCTTCACTCTCACCAAGGCCTTTTGTAGTTGCCCTTACAATTATGGGTCCAAACCAAACACCAGTGTTTGCCCAACTTGCATGGGTTTGCCCGGTGCATTGCCGGTGTTGAACTCGAAGGTTATTGAGTTTGCAGTGAAATTGGGTCTTGCACTCAACTGTAGATTGTCTTTGAACTCGAAGTTCGATAGGAAACAGTACTTTTATCCTGATCTTCCAAAGGGATACCAAATATCCCAGTTTGATATCCCAATTGCAACTGGTGGGTTCATTGATTTGGATCTTCCACTGGAGTTTGGTGGTGGGCATAGGAAGTTTGGCATTACAAGAGTACATATGGAAGAGGATGCCGGGAAGTTGCTTCATACGGGAAATGGGAGCTACTCACAGGAAATTACTTTCCCCCTTTAATTTAACTATTAGTCATTTATTTATAATGCTTTCAATGAATTTTTTATTCATTCATGATATAGTAATATGTTAAATGGTTCAATCTTTATGTGCTATGGGACAATTTCTGTTTTCGTTTAGTTGATACTTGATGCTGTTAGTATACTGAGTCTGTGATGGATATTATCCTTTTCGGAAGGTTTTTAGTGCTCTTGCATACATTGTATCAATAAGGGCTGCATCCGCTTGGTGCACATCAGATGCTTGTATAATTTATTTTATGGCTTATGAATTAGAATTACTGCTGATAAATTGAAACAGCAAAGACTCAGAATCTCAAGTATTATTGAAGTTAGAGAATGCCATGCCCCTCTAACAGTTTCCCTAAAATGTTGGACCAAATACTGAGAGGTGACACAGACACGATAGGAGACTGATACAGTGACATGTCAAATTCTAAAAAAGTAAGACATGGACATGAACACGGTGTGGACAAGGCTAATCTAAATATCTATTTATATATCTATTGAATTAGACAATTACATAACTTTAATTGTTGATTTTGTTGGTTTCCTTGTGCAGGTTGATCTGAACAGGGCAGGTGTGCCTTTGCTTGAGATTGTTTCTGAACCTGATATGAGAACTGGTATTGAAGCTGCAGAGTATGCAGCAGAATTACAGAGATTGGTTCGGTATTTGGGTGTGAGTAATGGCAATATGCAAGAAGGTTCACTTCGTTGTGATGTCAATGTCTCGGTTCGACCTGTTGGGCAGTCTGAGTTTGGGACAAAGGTTACCAAATGGCAATTATTTAGTCATTTTAGTTGTTTTTTGCTTGCTGTTGTGGTTTTGAGTATAGTGTGATATGCATGAGCATGTATAGTGGATGCACAACTTTGTTGCTAAGACTGCTATATAATTTTAAAATCAATCACCAATATGGTTTTAGTAAGGTTGCGTGAATCATAAAAAATCGAAACCATAAACTCTGAAAAATCACAATCAGATGTTTGGGTTAATTTATGGTTACTGATACTGCTGTGTTTACTTCCCATTTTGGTTCCTTCAGAAGACCTAATTTGTTATTTGTGAGATTAAACACTTTATTGTATCAGTCTCTTTTTGAATTTGTGTTACTGACTAACTTCTAAATGTGGCTGTCAAATTTTTTTTTTTACGGTAGATAAAAATGTACGTTCTTTTTCCAGATATTGTAAAATGTGCTTATTAAGTATATGAGTGGGCATGCATTCTGGCAGCTAATTTATTTTATCCCATTTTGCATTGACAGGTTGAGATTAAAAATTTGAACTCATTTTCGGCGATGAATAGGGCCATAGATTTTGAGATTTCAAGACAGGTGCTTCTCCATAGTCAAGGCCAGAGTGATCAAATTGTACAGGAGACTCGTCTTTGGGAAGAGGGTGCTCAGGTTGTAGCTGCATCTTTCTTTGTTGTTCTTACATGTATAATATGTGTTCCACCTTGGTTTCTCTGTCTACTTATATGATCCATTAACCTTTGTGCACTTTAGAAAACAGTTACAATGAGGAAAAAGGAAGGACTTTCAGATTATCGTTATTTCCCGGAGCCTGATCTTCCAGAAGTTATTCTCACAAAGGAATATGTTGATAATATTCGTGATTCTTTACCAGAACTTCCAGAAATGAAGCGTCGTAGGTATGAAGAATTGGGTCTGAGCATGCAGGACGTTCTTTTCCTTGCCAATGACATAAATGTAAGTCTAGTTCAGTATAATTTCACTGATACCGATTGTTTCTGGGTCTATTGTCGTATAAAATTTTATGAGTTCAAATTCTAGTCAGCGAAGGTAAAACTGAACTTACTGAATCATTTAATTTACTGCTACTGTAGATGTAACAATAAGAAATGTAGTAGGCTTATGTTTGGTTGAAGTCTGTAAACCATGAAAAAATACCTTCAAAGTGAACTTTCCAATGTTACATATTCTTATGTATGCATTTAATATTACTTGTGACAATTCAGACAAATGATTTTTTTTATTTTTTATTTGAAAAGTTCATTTTTTAATCCATATCAGATTAATGGTGTGAACAAATTAATTTTGCTACCATGAGAGAAAAGGATGATCATATGCAAGCATCAATGATATGGCATGTACATTTAGAATGCCTCACAGTTTCTGGCTTGAGCAAGTGATTATGTAAGCATCTGAGGCTATGCCTTGAGGCACTTCTTTCAATTGTCAGTTCAAGACAAGCCTCATAGCATTAAACAAGCATTCCTTCTAAAATCATGGTCCGACCTAGCATTGCCATCATTGCTTTGTAGCATTGCCTAACATAGTATTATGCTAGAATGATCTAATATTGATTGCTCTTTATTAAATCAATGTCTCAGGTTGCAGATTTTTTTGATGCAACTATTGCCAAGGGTGCTGATGTAAAGCTGGCTGCCAATTGGATAATGGGTGATATCGCTGCCTATATGAAAAATGAAAAGCTTTCTATAAATGAGATCAAACTTGTGCCACAGGAACTAGCTGAACTCATAGCTTCGATCAAAGGTGGGACGATTAGTGGAAAGATTGGGAAAGAGGTATATATACTTACTTTTTTTTTTTTTTTTCCCTAATTGGTAATCACACACACACGTCCCTACTGAGGTTATATGTACTTACTTTCGCACCAATAGAAAGAAAGTGGTTGTATCATCAAGTTGAACAGGACATTGCGACTTTATGATATATCACCACAGACCCTTATATTCAGTGGTATTTGGGTGAGGTGGTGTTTGTGTAGGTCCATCTCAAGTTCTCCTGGTCAAGAATGGTTTATTGTGCTAAGGAGTAACGACCTTAAGCGAAAAATAAAGAGAATTCTGGTTATGAATGTATTTATTTATTTATTTTTATTTTTTTGGAGCTTATTATTAGTATTATTTTATTTTATTTTATTTATTTATACCTAAGTTTTTTCCTTTCACAAAATTTGCAGATACTATTTGAGTTAATAGCTAAAGGTGGAACGGTCAAGGGACTGATTAAAGAAAAGAATCTAGTTCAGGTAAGTTCTTTCACTTTGATGCAAGTGATTTACTGGTCAAATGCTAAGTGTTCCTTGTGATGTACTGTTATGTCAATGGTCTTACTTCAACAGCCCAAATTCTTGTGAAGAATGTGATGCTTAATTTTGAAAATTAACTGCTTCATGGATACTATATAACAAATGAGTAATTTGTTATTTAAGGGCTGCATTATTAATATTCTCTTAATGTAGGGAAAAAAGAAAAAGAGAGAAGAAAAGCAAAGAGATGAAGTAGGCAAGATTTGATGTCTCTAAATTGAGGAGAGTTGTCATAGTTTACATCTAGGTTTGAAGATGGAATAAAGTAGTACCGTGTACTGTTGAACAGTATTTAAGATGAAACATTAGTCCACTTTAATGCAAGGAAGATCAGTTCATAGAATTTCAATGTTACTTTCAAGAAAACAAGGTTTATTTATTTATTTTTGTACATCTCTACATTTATCAAATAGCTCTTTACATAGCTCTTTACCTACCTTAGAAAATCTCATGCTTCTCGTTGGAATAGTTGTCCAACAATTGATGATTAAGCTTCATGGATTTTAGGAAATTGATCCAAGAAATGGAATTGGAGTTCCAAGACCACCATATTATTCGCCTTCTCCACAGCACTACTTGTATTTTGTTGACATCAACTCTGGACGCTTCCAGATTGATGGGAACATTTGGGATGCTGTTTTTCAATTATAAATACCAGGAGTAGTTGCCCTGTTTATCATATTCTATGCAAAAATTTCAAATTATATGGGTTGTCAATATTGCATTCACGCAATAGGCATGCTTATCCAAGAAACACGGTGCCTGTCTTCTCCTTGTTTTTTTTGCAGTAACAAAAGAACTGCACTGCTGTTCCTTCTCTTAAAATGCGAATATTCGAGTCCTCATTTTACATTTTTCTTCTAACATTTAAACTGGCTGCTCAGATCAGAAGGATGTTTGGGATTATTCTGTTTCTGTACATATTTTCTGAGTGATTCTGAATCAAACCTTCTGTCGCACAACAAATACGCAATTGACTTCGTACAACAAGAAGAATATTTCATAGGTATGCAGGGGAAGAGGCAGTGGTTTAGGTAGGATGAGTGAACTCTCCCTTTTATTAAAGCCCTATCTTGACTAATCAACCTGAACTCCCCTTCTAGACAGGGTAGTCACCTATGCTCCCTTCTACTGGAGCTACAAGCGTATCAATAAGGATGGGCCAAATTTCAAGTATAGGAAATGGAAGCTCTCTTTTCCTTAATTAAGATCTCACTTTTCTTTGAGGACATAGGCAAATCAAAACAACAACTTCTCCTTACATGAGAACTCGTTGACTATATTAATCATGGTTCGGAACGGGTTGATCCCAACAATAATTCTGAGTGTGATTAGTGAGACCACAGTGAGTACATCGTCAGGATTTTCTACCTCGGCCACGCCCCCCTCATGAGTCATGACCACCACATGTAGAACAGTCCCTGTCACTGCAGAACCAGCCAAAGGATAGTGTGCTTGTTATATCGTGTACTTTAATTTTATAGTAGTCAAATAGGATCTCAAGACCAAGCTAATTGGGCCTAGGTACATGTTGTGCAAAGTTGTAGCTCGTAATACCCAATTTAACTTCAATGAAAACCTAAGTCAAGAAACCAAAGAGAGACACACTTAAAGACAATTCAATATAGTCTACATTGATAGGTGTTGCCTTCACCTAATGAATGTCTTTAATTCCAGTTTTGCTCAATATTTACCAGAGTTTCTGTCAGAATAAATTACAGTACTAATTGAGAGCCTAAAATCGAGAGTGTTTGGACAAGGAGTTGCAAAGGCAGAGGAGTTCAACAACTAGTTCTTGGTAGAGTGGAGAGGATGTGAGCCTAAGTAAGAGGTCATCTAAATACACTTTTAGTTGACTATTGAATCTTCCATCTTCCTTTATTGCAATGAAGAACTTATAATAATAAAACAGTGGCTACACCAACAAACTTCGAAACAAAAAAAGAAAAGCAATCACCAATCAAATTAACATCCAATACCCATGAAATATTTCAAATAACTAGTAGTCAAAAGCTCGTTTTGTGAGTGAAGCGTCTTGAGAGAAAAACAACCACAGGGATGAGCCTGATAGCTTTGTACTTTTAACCCAAAGAGCTTACCAAACCCCACTAAGTTACTAACTCCCTTTTTGCTAGCTGAAATCTCAGAGATGGCCAGGCCGCTTTCTTTGATCCTTTGAGATCCTGTTTGGAATAGTAGCCCAATTCGAGAGTGGAAATACGCTTCAAGGCAGGATTCCGTTCCATAGTCGAACTCGACTTTATGGATGGGGTTTATTTAATTTTCTTTGACAATGGTTCAGTGAATTCCCTTCTTCGAAATCCTCTTTTGCACCCCTGCCCGTACTCTTTCTGTTAAGGGCACCTTTCACTCTTTCTTCTATTTTTGAGCTTCACAAATTGGATCAAATTTTTCTGGGCATACGATTAATGAGAAAAACAGCTGCATTGAAAGCTAATAATTACCTTGTGTCAGAATTAAGAAATTCTATGGCTCGGATCCAAGCCTTGGTCTCCTTTGAGTCTTTGCCTTTGCCTCACTAAAACCTTATCTTCCTGTCTACAATAAGCACTGAAGCCCCATTCATAGGGGTCAGAAAGTATGCTTTTCATCTTTAGTTTCGTGAAAGAGAGGGTATGATGTGCCAGTGTGTGGTATGGAGCCTGAATCTGTTGCCCACTTGGCAGCCTCTTTAAGCTCAATCAACAGCAAGGTAGGAGGAGTGGAATTCTACAACCCCAATCAGCTAGCAAGACAGTTTGGGTTCACTCAAAATCCTTTTTTGGGTCTCTTTCCCTCTTAGAGTGCACTCCAGTATGCTGGCAACTGCCTTCGACAACTAGAGTGAGGGTGAACCATTAATATTCACTTGATAATGGGGTTTGCAGGTTAAATTCTGTCTAACCAGATAGTTGAACAGGGCACCCTAGTCATTGGAACTCCTTGGCAATCAAATATTGAGGAAATACATGTCCAAACACTACTGGAGACGAGGTGGTGGGGAATAGCTTTGTAGGCTGTCTGAGATCTTGGTGATGTTGGGTTGGGCCCCTTCCAGTTCTAAAGTTCTGACTCTTAAGCGTTTATTCCCTGAACTTAAGAGTCTTTCTTGCGCAATGCGGCGACTCTTTCTGGCCAACTCATCAGTTTTGATAAGTCAGGTATTTTTTTCAGTCCGTATTGATAAAACCATTCGTTATTTTTTAAATCTCTTTATAATGTTCAATCTGTTAATGTTTATTCAATTATCAGTCTTTCCATTGACCGGCTTTATGCTGTTTCAACTAGGGTTTCATTTCGGTTCATTATTAGACACGTGGAGATAGATTCTTCTTTCATTGGTTCGGAATGAGCAGCTATATTTAATTCCCGAGTACTTATCAAAATATATATATATATTTAATTCCCGAGTATGTTAAATCCACAAGCCAAAATGAGGACCAATTGCTGGGGGTCGCCCATTCTAAAGTCAGGAATTGAGGGCCGTTACTACAGTAATTGTTGCACATATATTATCCAGAATGAGGCAGAACTGGCCTTTGCTCTTCGAGAAATTTCTTCTCAAACTTCAGATCCATTCATGGTCTTCCTGCCAGGTGGACCTTGCTGTCATTTCATCTACAGATTTGAGTGAAATGGCTGGTGGTAATGTTAGCTAACTTTTGGTGGGTGCATGGAGAATGTGATAGTTTGAGGACGAATCGTTTGGCTGAGGCTGGCAGACAGCCGCTTGCTCTCGTACTGATGCTGTGGACTTCATTGAGCATTGGAGGAACACTAGGACCATGTAATGCCGTCTAAATCATAACCTCTTATTTTCTAAAAATTTGAGGGATTTATAAATAGCAAGGACAACATTTTATTATAAACACTGAGATGTTGGAAATGGTGCACATGAGCTAGCTGAGCCTAATATGAAGTTATGAACTGCTTGACGTTGGGTTTGGTTAAACTTGCAAACTCAACTCAACTCAACCCAACTATTTAGGGTCGACTGAAGAATCAGCTATTTATCCTAATAATGCCATAACCTCAATCAGACTTGTGCTCTCATATCTTTCCTCATTATCTCCACCCAAATTAGTTTTCGTCTTTCCTTTCCTTAAGCATTACCTAAATATGGATCCCATCACTCTTCCTCACTGCGTTCTTATTGGTCTTTGCTTATATTACCCAACCATATTATGGAAGCATACTCCCACACAACTGATTTGTGTTTGATGATGTTTCTTTTGAAGTTTTCGGAGTTAAGTTGATTAAATATTATGCCATTACAGTTGCATTAACTTGCTCAATTATTCAAAAATTACTTATGTCAAGACTGAACTGCTCCTGCTTGGCATTCTAAGTAATGAAGCAGCATTTTCAAACATGAAATTCGTGCGTAGAGCACAGTTGAATGAGCCCAAATTACATAAGTTGATTTGATATGATAGAATGAATGCACCCATTTCATTTGGCTGAAACATTTTGTACGCGCATGATAATTTTGATTGAAATATAATGATTTTTGTAGAAACTTATGTGGGTGCTGTGGGTGCTTCTCATATTTTGAAAATAACAGATAACAGACCCTGCTGAGATTGAGAAAATGGTGGACAAAGTAATTGCAGAAAATCCCAAGCAGCTGGAACAATTTCGTAACGGAAAAACTAAGTTACAGGGTTACTTTGCTGGGCAGGTATGGAAATTATTGCAAAGTTTGACTAGTATGGTTTCTCGGTTGTGTTATCTAGACTTCTGGACTTATGAGATGACTCACAACATCATAACTGAATTTTCAGGTGATGAAGGAATCAAAAGGTAAGGCAAATCCAGGTCTTCTGAACAAGATCCTTCTAGAGAAATTAAACGCCACAGGTTGATCATATTGTAGGTGGGTGGGTAACCGCATATGCTTTCCTGATTGCTAAATTATGGCGCCGTTTATTATATTTTCATCATAATATCTGAAATTTCTTTTTTCCAGCCAGACAATGCATAATATGCTCAACCAGGGGCAGACCAGGGCTGTCCGGATATGATCTGGCATTGATGAATTCTAAAGAGTTTGTTCCCATGAACTGTGTCTTGTCTAAGTACCAAGTGGAAGAAAGACCAAGTCAGGCACTTCTCTTTGACCTCTCTCTATGAACTTGTATACTATATGGCAACCTGTTGTTTAACTTGTGCTTTGCAGAGGAAAGGAACCGTTTGGATAGACTAGCCAGTAGGTTTTAATTAGGCTGATATTTTTTTTCTTTAATCTGCAACCATTTAATTGGACTCCCATGTTATTTGTAAGAACTAAGAAGGTTGAACTTGTATTCCTACCTCATTTTGACTTGATACTAGTTAATATTAATTGAAAATTTAAACTGTTTTTGACTTTAAGCAGTTCTCTCTCTCTCTGTGTGTGTGTGTGTGTGTGTGGCACTTGTATAACGTGTTAAAATAATGCCATTTTTTTTTTCGTTTTTGCCCTGCTCCTTCGCTGCCGGATGGAAAAACTGGGAAAGAAATTCAAGGTTCAATAGCAAAGTTGAGGTATGTTTGGTTCAGTTTTCCATAAACAATTCTCAATTAAAAAAGAGAGAGAGAGGGAGAGAGAAGACAAAACACTGTTTTTAGTGACCTTAATAAAGAAACTAATGTTGAAAATGTTTTCGTGGAGTTGATGATCTGAACTTACTAGGGGTAAGACTGCTTTAGTTCATGTATGCTCTGCGTTTTCTTGTAAATACTAGTAGATAAATTGGTGGGTGGTTAGAAGTAAATTCAAATATGTCGGGGTAATTTTGTAGTAACTGGTTTTATAATTGAATCTTATATGTGTATTAAATGGTAAAACTTCACTGAAATCATGTTAAAAGCAAAGCACGCATTCACCACCATGAATTATGTGTTTGCCAAGACCAAAGTTGTGTCTAAAGGTTTCGATTTAACGCAAATGTATTTTTATTCGTTTTAAAGTTGTGATTTCGATTTAAATTCACCAAACAATACCTAAGAACATTAGAGGATCTCGATTTGGAGAGAAACTTGTAAAAATCCCACTATTTCAATAGTAAAAATCCCACTATTTCAATAGTTTAAGCGAAGTGTGTAAATTCAAGAATCATGTTAAAAATACATCAAAAACTATATAACACTCAACAAACGTTAAATAAGACACAAAATAGTTTAAGCGAAGTGTGTAAATTCAAGAATCATATTAAAAATACATCAAAAACTATATAACACTCAACAAACGTTAAATAAGACACAAAAGTTTTATATATGATCCTGTATCCATCCGTATACACGTATTGTATCTTGTATTTGTCTATTTGGCTAAATCGATCTTGAAACATGAAAGTCTTGCATGTGTGGAAATTGAACTTGTCACATAATGCTGGCATCGGTTGGAGGCCGCATTCACAACATTGGCTGCAAACTCCAAAGCTCTGTAAGCAGAATTCCATTTATTCTGAAAAGCATAAACACAAGCATGCATCATTAAGAAGATATATATATATATATATATATATATATATATATAGAAACCTCATACAAAAAGTAAGTCTCATAACAGCTGCGTGGAGAACGAGCTAGTAGAGTTCTCTCTTCCTCTTTCTATCGCTTATGGGATGGATGCTACAAGCGTCCATATTCTCCGGTTCTCCGGTTTTCACCTCAAGCGTCGGCATTCTGAGCTCCTCCGCATTACCTTGAGTGTCCTCACCTCAAGAGTCCTCGAACCCCATCACTTTGAGCGTCCTCACCTCGAGAGTCAGCATCCTAAACTTTTCGCAGGTAATTTGTCTGCTGTAGCCCTCGCCATTGTCTTCAATAAGCAAAAACACGAAGGAAGCTGTCGCGATAAATCCTTGGACATTCGACAAACAGGAACTTCCTATGTCATAACCAAACTAGCGAGCTACGCTTGGAGCGTTGCTGTATGTTTTCAGGTTTTTGTCTCCTTGTTCACCACTCAAAGATCTGCCATTGTAATTTTCTCGTCCTCAGTAAGGCTCCACGAATCCAGATTCTGAATTCTTTCAAAAAACAAACCATACAATTGTGTTACCATCTTCCAATGTAGGCATCACCCTTTTCCGATGTTGAAGTGAAGCACCAAGTCCACCGGAATATGCGACGCCACGCCCGATTCCAACTCCCCCAATGGCTCCCCATGTTCTTTAAACTGGCCCTCACAATATAAGAGTCCAAATAACAGAGCCCTCTGCCACTCCAAAAATGGTCACTTTAGACCAATTTTCTTTAGATTTGGTTCTTAGAATCTAATTTTCCCACGGAGAAGGTAATAAATTTACGTACTTAAGATGACACTAACGCATATGTTGATAAAAAAAAATCACCAAATCTATTAACAACTAAAGTGGGTAGACAAAATTCTTTCTTCAAGTTTAAAACAAAAGAAGCAAAACATTTAAAATTTTGCTAATACAAAAGAAGCAAAACATTTCAAATTTTGCTAATTTCTTTTACTTTGTCTGAAAAAAAGTCTCTTGATTGATTTCCTTTATTATTTTAACACAAAATGAGGATGACGTAAAAACATGTATAGTCACGTAATATTTCTTAATGAGTGTCGCTCTTACATTCGGAGTGGGCTTCTGTTTTCACGCTCAGCGTGCGCGCTCTCGCTTCCATTCTCACTATTTGTGACTTAATTTTGCCGCTTTTGCATTCATGCTCTCGAATTTGTTCACACTCCCACTCCCGCTTTACCAGTATCACACACGTATGTATAATTGTATGGTGGTGGATAATTAACTAAGGTGATGAATATACCAGCATGCTCTCCAGCTCCTTGATCTCGTCCTTCAGTTCCTTGTTCTCGTCCTTCAGTTCCTGGTTCTTGTCCTCCAGCACTTTAAGCTAAAAAGTTTTCAACCAAAACCATGTAAGTAAATAGTTTATATCTCTCTACCCTTAATTAATTTAGGAGAAATGACAAAGTTCTGCAATTTTCATTCTAGGAATCCAAATAAAGAGAAATATTTAACTAATTACTGATATTCGAATCCTATATAAAATCAATAAAAATATATATATAGTTGGTTGATCTGTACATACATTTTTCTCTTTCATCTTGAGCACTTCTTGTATCTGTCAAACAGGAAAAAGGATCATTAATTGCATGTCGCGCTGGATTAGTGTAACGGGTGGGCCCTTATTTATTTATACAAAAAGATAAATTGTTAAATAGTGTTGTATATAACTTACCTATTTATATTTAATCACTTTTTCATCCGAACATAACCCACCCATTTATACATACCCTCGTTGGGGTTGGATCACTATGCCTACTTAGGGTGAAAACCTGAATTCCTGGCTTTGATATCAATTGTAACGGGTGGGTATTTGCTCATTTACTCAAAAGCTTAAGCTGTTGGATTGTTCTGCATACTCACCCATTTATACTCAATCACTTTCTCATCCGGTTCCGATATGGGACAAGTCTCCTTGTAACAATTACCCTATGCATTATGTAATTGATAGATTGAAGTTTCAGACAACCTAAATTTATCTCCTTCTCCTCTGGAATAAATTAATCAATCAAATTATATGTATATATCTATCCATCTATCTGTATACACGGAATAGAAAATTAAGGACAAACAACTTACAGCCATAGATGCCAGGACGATAGGCTCCTGGGATGTGGAAGTGCTTTCATCGGACTCCTTCACACACATACATGTATATTCCTTAAACTTTTGAATCAGTATGTGAGAAGAAAGAAGTGATTGAAAATATTTGATTCTATGAATGATCAACCATAAATTAATTACCTCATCAGACTCTGTTTCTGTCACAAACTTTTCCTTCATGAATTTTAACAACGAATAGTTGTCAAAGACGATGGGGTGTTCAAGAGCATAGTTTCCGGTACCGTAACACTCGGGACAAATATTGAATACGCTGCTACCATTCTGTGTGTCCAACCAGCACTTGTCACAACAAAAGTGGGCCCCCTTGATAAAAACTCCACAGGCGTCGCAAAATGGTCTACCACTTCGAACTATATACGCACACATGGCGTTTTCTCTCGTAAATTTCAAGCACACATCAAGGCTCAGTTGTATGTCTTCCTCAAGTAATTGTTTTATTTTTTCTGCCGTCTCTCTATCTGAACACTGATTAAAATTCCTCTGGAAATAGGCCGCAGCAATCTTGCGTATCTCATCCATCCCTCCTACTAATCACATTAATCTCTCGATTTGGATACTGCATATGTCTGGCTTTAGAGTTTAGATCGATTATGTGAGAGCAAGAACCAGAAAAAAAAGTTGACTTTAATGAACTCAGGGACGTCAAATGGTCATATGAAAAGTCATTTATGCCCTTTAATTATATGGGTTGGTGTGTTTGTTTTAATAAAACTGAAAATTAAGTACTGAAATTTTAAGAGTTGAAGTTTAAGTGCTGAAGTTTTTAAGTGGGAGTTAAAAATAAATATTTTTTGAAATCTTTTTGAAATTTCTGCGTTAAGCATTCACTTGGATTTTCCGCGTTAATCATTCACTACAGCGATATTCAATGTACATGATCAAACGCACTTAATTGGATAAGCACTAAATACATTCAGAATTAAACGCTAATTTGAGTACTTAAACATCACCTTATTGTAATGCAACAGATCCTAATAAGAGAAATGACCAAACATATTGACCAATTAGTGTTCCAAACAACTTCGAACCATATAATAATAACAACTTCACATGCAAAACAAAATCTGAAGAAAAATAACAAATTTACTTGCATATGGAGTTGTAATTTATTTAAATCATGTAATTTCGAACCATATAATAATTTTATCTCATTGTGAGATATATATTTTGTAACTGACTAATTTCGGTGTCAAAACAAGTCCGAACGAGTTGTAATTTTTATTTTTAATTTCAAGATCAAGATTGGAAATGGAATTGAAGCGTTGTTCATGATCAATTGTCTGAGAACATCGAAAAGGTAAGAACAAAACTTTAGGAGGTTGAGTGAGAAGGTTAGAACATTTATATTTTTAAAAACTTTGCTAGGCGAAATTTTTCTATGTGTTTTTAAAACCTTGAGTTCAAGATTGGCCGTCTTGAACCGGTTCAATGTAGCTGAACCAGTTCAAGAAGAAAAACTTCATTTTCTTTAAAAACCTTACTGACCATCTCGAATCGGTTCAACCACCCTGAACCGCTTCAAGAACTCCAATAGTTTTTTGGTAACTTAGTTTCTTACTCTTTTTTTAATTCCTATTTTACATAGACTACTTACCGAATTCCTATGCATGAAATTGACATGTTTTAATTTCCAAGTATACCTAGGGTTTTGAAAGTTTATAAGTGATGTTTTCTCACCTATGATTGACCTGGCTTTTTGCATAAAAATTCAGATTTTCTTAAAAGCCTTTTGTGAGATATTTTTCAAAACACACACACACACACACACACACACACACACACGAGTGATTTAGAGTGTAGTTCAATTCCTGATCATGTTTGAGACAATTTAAGATTCTATCTACAATGATCAAAGAAAGCAATCTCAATTCTTCTACAACAAATTCGAAGTAGAAGATCTTTTGATCACGCTTTGAAGGGATTAAGACGCTTGCGGAGTGTTGTTGATCTACCAGCAACCTATCTACAAGGTTCAAGGCATAAGTCTGAAGTCGAGAGTTGTTAGACGAGAAGTTGCAAAGCTAGGGGTGTTCAGCAAATTGACTCTTGGTAGAGTGAATGAGTGTAAGTCTGAGTCAAAATTCAGTGTACTTTGCTTCATACATATTGGATCATTTTGCGCTTGGGATAGCGAACAAATAAGTCTAGTCAGGAGTGGAGCCAGCATATGCCCCTGGCCCCGCCATATATAATATATATGAATTTTTAAATTATATATATATATATATATATATATATATATATATATATTGTATATCATGCCCCCTAAAAATATTAAATTTCCAAAATTCTCTTAACTTTTTTTTTTATTTTTCTCATTTACTCTTTAAATTTCAAATTTTCCTTATTCAATCATACTCTAATTCATTTCTTTTAAAATTCTGTCATTTTTCTTTTCCCATTACTTTTTCTTTGTGTTTTTTAAGAAATAAAAATGTTTTTTCTTAAACATTTTTATATTATTTTTTTTTTTTGTGCCGTGACCCTTGAATTTAAATCTTGACTCCGCCACTCTCCAGTAATAACATATGATATCACAAAATGTAGTGGAGTTTCCCACAAAATTTATTATGTGTGACAATTAATGCACAATATATATTGATTAGTTAAAAAATAATAATTGCAGAACTAAATACACACAATATATATATAGAGACATCCATATATATATAAATATATATATATACAGATGTTTGTTTGACCGTCTTTGTTCAGTTGTTGGCATCCATTGAGTGAATTAAATCTATTGCTATTTGCTCCCCCTCAATTTGTTGGTCATTGTCGTCCTCCTCGTACGTCGCATGGTAAGAGGCCGTCGCAACCTCGAGTTTCTCCTCCATCCCTCCTACTAATAAAATTAATCTCTCAATTATATCAATTCATGTAGTGTGTATGTATAAATGGCTTTAGATCGATTGTGTGAGCAAGAACCAGAAAAAAGGTTGATTTATATATATAGCCATGGAGGAATGATGAGCTTGAGAGACAACAAATGGTCATATGAAAAGTTATTTATGCCCTTTATATGTTTTTGTATATTGTTTTATTGCAACAAGATCCTGACAAGGGAAATGTCTAAAATACCCTTGCATGTTTAGTGTTGACTTGGTGTTCGAATAAAAGAAGTCTCCTCCATAAATTATTACATAATTTTGACTATGTAATTCACTACTGGACATGCAAATAAATATGTTAACTTTATAAATAATGTATAAATAAGTTAGACTCATATTATGAGTTGTTTCATTTTACAAATAATATAAACACTTGATAAATCAGTTGGACACGTTCCATCCCAATATATCGTTTCTAATATATTTGTGGAATAAACTCGGACACGTTGAATACACCGTATACATGTAATCTATAGTGAATTTGACATGAGATCTATAAAATTTTTAACATCATAAAATTTCAATCATTACTAACTTATAATCATGACACGTTTAATTTCATGTCGAATTATGAGTTATTGAAATCATGTAATTCCAAATCATGTATATATATATATATATATATAATTTCTCCTCCTAGGGCTTCATTTTACTCTTTATTTATGTATCAACTGGAGACTTATTTTTCTTTTATTTATTATGTGGTGGTTAACTGCTTTTTGGATACCAATTATTTGAAACAATGGATACGACTTGCGTTATGAAATTGCTTACGTTATGAAATTGTTAAAAGTATATGGATACGATTACATATCCATACTTATACAAAAATTCATTGACGGTTCTAAATGGCAGATAACGGAGAAGGGTGGTGTTTTAAAATAGTTTTGCTCGTCAAATGTAATTAAGACAAAGTTTAGTGGATGTTATTGTATTTTATTCAAATTAGAATGATAAAAGTTGATATACATGGAGAAGAAAATTACTAGGTTGTTGATGGGCATAAGTCGCAATTTCCAAAGACGACTTCTAAGTCAACATGCCTTCATAATCGATGTTACAGTGGGTCCATAAATAGATGAACATGACCATGTGGGTGCCACAAAAACTCATGCAACGACAAACTTGTGTGACTTCCAAATCTGTGATAAAAAGAAGACAATTCAGATGAATCAATTGGTTCAAACCGCGTAAACCCAGCACCGTTTTGATACTTCCAGATCCACGTGCATCGAAACAAATATATATTATAATAATAAATGAATACATGTTTTTAAATTATTAAATTATAATCAAATTATCATATCTGATTTGGTAAGTGGGTATTTAATCCTATCATATTAAATTTGATAATTAAAAATAATATGTTCATTTATTATAAGTACACATCAACAGTAATAATGATATAGATCTTCACTAGTGGGACTTAAGTATTGCCTTTTGGTAAGGGTATTAATGAAAATTTGAGTGCTTAAGAATTTTAGTGGAAAATCATTTCAAAAGTGGGATTGTTTGGTCTATGAAGAATTTATAATTTATTTGTTTTGAAAAATTATTTCAAAATTCTGTATGGACTGGTGCCGGGGCATTTCTTGCATATCAAGAGAAGTGATGACCGGCATGGTTTTGGGCGGGTGCACTCCAACACCTAAATTTCTCGTGTTTTGCAAGAAACGCACCATGCATATAACATGAAATAATGTCAAAGCTTCTTGCAGGACCATTTAGTTCTGCAACCCTCTCAGACTTCACTATAAGTTAAAGTTACGTGATGATTAAACTAAGAAATGGGTTTTGGTTAAATCGATCTTCTTGACTTTCTGAAAATTATTTAGGCTGTGTTCGGTTGCATTAGTAGGAGGAGAATGGAATGAGTACTGAAACACACCTAAATAGAAGCTCGGAGAAGACTAGAGTAAAACACATACTATTTTCTCTTCATTTTGAACTTGTAATAATTCGTTTGAGAAATGTAAGCTAGTGTTCAATTTGGTTTGAGAAATAAAAGTGCTCGTTTGGGAAAAGGATATGAGCTATCAATGCCCTCAATTATGTCAAATCAATTGCTTATTTGGCAAGAGTGGTATGTCTGATTGGTGTCAGTATATATGGTGATTGGCAAGGCTTGCATGCCAAAAGGTTGCACCCATTAATCATATTAATGTCAGAGTGAATTCTAACATGTAGAAGTTGTCAGGCTAATTAACATGGTTCAAATTGTTAAGAGTGATTACTTTCTGTAAGTAATATCAAATTATATATCTATATGCAATCTAATAATAAGCTCAATGGTATAACCTCCTCATTCTCGGGAGGGGTTGGAGTCCCAATTTGAACAAAAAGTATATTGTTTGCCGGAAAATGAGGTCAAAGACAGAAAAGAGTGTTCATGGTGTCCGATGGTGCTCCGTAAATGTAACCTAGGCCACATAATCCCGGCTCGTGAAAGTCTGCCTTATTACCCTCCTTTCTCTTCATTTACCTATTGAAGAAATCCTCGTCACAGTAATCGGCTTGTCTTGATTTGGGCCCATCCCTTTCTTTCTTTTCTTTTTTTAATTGGAAGTTTATTGAATATGAAAACTTTTAAGTGCTTGATGTTGTGTTTAGTTGTTTGAGCTTTGTTAAGACTTCTGTTTTTGGAATTCAGTTCCTTTACTAACATAAAATCAAATTTAGTATTCAATTG